AGAAGATCAATTCCAGGTTGACGGGGCGCACTGTATCTGTGCGAGACGTGGCTCCAATCTTCCCGCTCGTCTGTCTCTAGCTCTGGTCTTTCTAGGCCTCCATTAAGCTCCCTCAGCTTTTCATATGACACGGCGATACCCATCAGAAGCTGCATGACAGCATATGGACCTGAGTGACATTTGATGTATGTGGCAGGAGTGAGTGCAGCTCCTCTTTGTGTCTCCCATTCATGTGGTGAGGGCAGGATTAAGACTTGATCCAATAGAGCAGAAGTGGAGAAGAACGAGCTCGGGTCAGATCTGCCTTGAATTAAGTCAGTGTTGCAGCAGGAATAATACAACCACCTCCCCCCACAACCCTGTAATAGTACTGAAGGGTAACGTATGTGTGTATTTATTTGTGTGTGCGTTCTGAGCACGGCCTGTGCCGAGCCTGCGACCAAACCACAGGCTGGTGTCCTTTACAGAGAAGAGTGGTCTCTGTTGACGGTTCAAACACAGCCCACGGCCCCAGCTTCAAACGGCCCCCAATCATCGCACCCACTTACAGCCAACGGCGCATGTCACTTAATGTGGACCACACTATTCATCAATTATGGTGAGCTCAGGGGCCATCCAACACCCGCACCACAGCTCCACAAGTAGTGAGTTGTCTTCTTGTCTGACTGAAGCCCCCCCCCGCCACGGTCCTTAAAGCCCATCTGTTGTGAGAGGTGTGGTGTGAGACCGCTAACTCCTCAGAGCTGTCACACAAACAGAACTCCGGCTTTGCCTTCTTCTTTCATGCCGTGTTATCTCGCTGCGAATGCTCCTCATCCTCCTCCTGTGAATCTGGCTTCCTGCAGCGCACGTTAAGCTTCATAATAGCTCACTTCTTCCCCCTTCCTAATGTAATTGCCACCCTCGTCCATTCTCACCCCTCCACTCATCCCGTGCACTTGCATCCCGCAGTAGGCCAATACACACGCCTGTTAAGACACACACAAGTCCACGACCTTAGCCTCCTACTCGCTGTTTATCTGTCCCCTGGCAAGCAAACTGAGTCAAACTGGAACTCATTTAATGTCGTCTGATTTTGACATTTCGCCATGGGGTATTAGTTAAGCCCGAGTGCCTTTTTGGTATCCAAGTGACAGAACGTATGTTAAGGTTGTAAGAGTGAAAATAAATGACTGAGAATGAGAAATGTGGCGACCATATTTAGAATTCCCTTTAAACAGACAGCTGACGGCAGGGCGTGCAAACCTGAACCAGACCACACAACATTATCCAAGTCTCATTCCTCCTCTGCTCCTTCTCCTCCTTCTCCTCCTCCTCCTTCTTCTTCTTCTCTCCAGTCTCTGTCCATGAGAGAACTTCCTCCGTCACATCTGGACAGGGCTCAGGTCAGGCCAGCCCGGCGTGAGGGGATGAAAGGTGACTCTCATGCTGGCCGGTTCACCCAGCGCACCTCCACTTGAGTCGTGTCTCTCTTATTCCCAAAAGCGGTTCAGCTGCTGGTACATGTGAGGCGGGTTCAGTGTGTGTGAGAGTGTGTCCATCGGAGCCCTAACCTCAGCAGCTGTGTGTGATTTTGTATTCATGTTATCTGGGGGCTTCTTTCCTGGTGTATTTTTTCCTGTCTGTCCTGACACCTTGTTTTCTGTGCGGTGGAGACACATTCTGGTGATAATGGAGGTGAGCTGCTTTATGTCAGCTGCAATGCTTCAGTATCTGAATTTTCATTCACAAGTCTGACCAGGCAGATATAGATGCCTTTTCTTTTAGTCTTTAAAATTTTGGAGAAAATATGCATTCATGCCTGTTTTTTTTTAAGAATAATTAATGATATTTTGGGGCAAGTTAATATATAAATCCATATTAATTTTCCTTATTTGTTTTTGGTGTTATGTGGCAATACTTTAAATCAGTGATTTCTAACCAGGGGATTAGGAGCACCTAAAGTAATTTGAATGAAAAATATAAATTGTGATTAAAAATATATATATGTACACATATTCAGTCAGACACCCAAAAACCACAAGTGGCAATTAATGGTGCATGCCTAAAAACTAGTTAGCAAGTGAGCAAAGAAGTCTGTACGTGCAGTTAGCTGGAAGTAATGGATGAATGGCTAAAAATGTTAGTTAAAAGTAAAAAATAATTGGTTGAAATTGTTAGCTAAAAGTAATAAATAAATGCTTGAAATGGTTAAAAGTAATGAATACAACCAGTTCAAATAGTTTGCTAAAAGTAACAGTTGACCTCTGTCACTAGTAGTACAAAAGCAAACTTTGGCCAAACCGGCCCAAACACTGACGGTTCAATTGTGTGTAAACAATTACTATAACAATATCCAATACTGACATTATAATAACATTATATTAACAGTGTTATAGTTAATAGTGTTAAATAACATCTATTAAGAAAAGTTCAAATGAGCACAGTTGGAAAATGGCTGGTGGTGTTGATGGAGAAAGGGCTGTGTGGGTACAGCTACAAAAATAATTATTACAATATTACATCTCATATTCTGGCTGTTTTAAAATGATTATATGATAAATTTGGACCATTTCTAAATGTCTATCTTGTGCACTATAATAATTACATTAAATACAATTAAACCTACTTTCATTTTTCAGTTATTTTTTTCTATATGATATTCTGGGCAATTTGTTACATAAATCTAAGTTGGACACACAGACATACACAAACACAAAGTCGGATGGGGCAAGCATTGCTTCATAAACAATTGCAGCCACACACGCTCACGCTAGGAAGGAACATGAAAACAGCGCTAATGGGAAAAAGATGAGAGGGCTCACAGTGAGCACACCCAGAGAGAGGAGGAGAGAGCCGGCTGTTGGACACCGCTGTCTCAGCCCTGCTGGCACACACTAACAGCCTGGGATCAGATAGAGAGATTGCTGCCTGAGGTCACATTGTTAACAAAGTCTACTTCAATTGCTAGGTTCAGTTTTATGGATTTTGATCTATGGCATTTGTGTGCTAGTTTAATTTCTGAATCCCATTTTTTGGGGTTTCTTTTGGGGTTTTATCTGTTATATAAATGCAGTATATTCCTGCTATTTCTGTATATATATATATATATATATATTTTTAATGAAACACAAAAGTTAAAACAAAGTTAAAAACTAATTATTTCAGCTATTTCAACTAATTAGGTTTCTAAAATATTTTCATTTATTTATTTTACTAAAAAGAACTGTTCATCATTGTCCTTTTAAAAAAAAAAGTCTTTATTTTGTTTGGACTTTGTCATTTTGAGGTTTTCTGTGTTTTGCTTAATTCACAGTGTATGCTGATATTTCTATATTTATAAATTCAAGTTATTATAGTATTATGTTCACATTCTTTCAGATTCATCAAACTTATTTGGTATAACTACTAAAGTAACAGTTAGTCTGAGTCTTTAAATGTTAAATATTTGATGTTGTCTGTCACAAACCAGATCAGCAAAAACATGTTCAAAACTAATTCTGTTACCATCCCTCTTAGGACACACAGTTTGGAGCCTTTAGTGATAAAAGTGTGATGTCCGTGTAAACCAGCAGTGAGAGGAAACATCCCTGTGCTGTTAAGGAAAAAGTGTGTCATCTTGTTTATTTTCCTTTGGTTTTGCTGTCTTTTCCAGCCCATAGGGCGCGATGATAACAAAAAAATATTGCAGCGCCCACGTCTCACAAGCGGACTGCCCCTCCAGTCCGACAAGGAACCGCAAGGCCCTTGGAACAACATGTTTGCTGTGAGGGAGAGGAGCAGAAGTTACAGCCTGTGTGTTAATGATGGCTCACTGGTGATTCCCTCACATGTTTGTTCAGATTTTGGCTCTCCTTATACATACAGGCACAAATCAACCCTGTCCTGATGATGTCTCATCTTCCAGGACTGATATTTGCCCTCGCTGTTGACACAGCACTGGCCTTGATTTGTGCTATTTTCTGATCTCTGATACTTTTGTGTCCCATATCTTCCTGAAGAAACAAATTCACCTTCCAAAAAAATTCTCATTAATTTTTTCTCCATAATGCCAACTCTATCATTGCTCTCTCTGTGTTATCCGTGATGTGTATCCACCAAGACTGAATAATATTTGGACAGGTGTTCTTTCATATACATTAACTTCAAGGGGTCCAGTGTGATATTTCATTGCAGTTTCATAAAGAGGGAAAAAAAGCTGCATATCCTGGCTGGTGGACTCTTAAGTCGGTATTATATACTGTAGTCTATACTGTATGTATAATCCCTAACAATAAAAAACTGTTTAGCACCAATTTTCCTTTACTTTTAAAACCTTCTTTTTTCCTGTTTCAGACAACTGTGGAGGCCACATCTGGAAGACAGATGTAGTCCCAAAGCTCTCTGCCTTTGACTCTCGCTCTCTCTCCTCTCCCTCGCATTCACTGCTTCTCACTCACTCTCTCCCCGCTCTCTCTTTCTCGTGTCTTTTCCTCCCTCCCCTCTCCTTTTGGGAAACTTGAGACCTGGGCTAATTCTCCCTCTCTCTCTCTTTCTCTCTCTCTCTCTCCCTCTCTCCCTCCCACCCCGGCCGGACCACCCACATTCGGAAACGCCTAGCTGTTCCTGAGGCAGAGCCACCGGCCGGCAGTTTAGGGAGACAGAGGGAAAGCAACAAGAGAGAGAGAGATGTAAGGATGGGTTATGACTGACGGTTTTAGCAGAGTATCAATTACATCAATGTCAGAGCCATAACCTGCCATTGTGTAAGGAGGAGAGAGTCTGGGAGAGACGTCTGCTTTAGTGCTCTGCTGAGTTTATGCAGCTCTTGTTTTTTGCAAGACAACTAACTTTATCAACTCACTTCATTCTACAACATATCTGATGCTGCTTACATAAATATGCTTGTAAGAAAGTAAGTGCTCTTATGCTGAAAGCCTGCTTGTAGTAAACGCTGGACATCCTCAAATGAGATTAAATTTTCCATTTCTTGATCACACAGTTGCATCAGATTCAAAGATCTCAAAAAAATAACAGTACAATGTCCTTAAAACAGCAGCTTTTATTTGCTTGGTAAGCAGTAAATAAGTATCTCGCAGTTCACCTCAAACGTTTAATCTTCTCCAATATAAAAGTCAATGTCTCCACCATGTGGACGTTTCTTAGTATTGCCTCTTTGGAAAAGTGTTACCATCTGCATTACCACAAAAAGTCTAAAAAAGGGGTTTAAAGGTTGATACTGATAAGATTTTAAAGGTTAATAAATAATTTATTTTTTCCTTAATAATCACTAAATGACTCATCATTGCCACGTTTTGAAGACTCTACTTAGCTGTAGCAGTATAGCCTCCAAAGATATGACACCTGCTTTTTGGTTTTTAGTTAAAGCTGCACTACTCAATATTTGTGTAAGAACAATGGATAAAACCACTACTTGTATGCGAAACGGTTCGCTCATAATGATGAACCCACCGACTCTGCAGTTGCTCTCAGCTCTATGGAGATTTTTGGTGTTTTTCAGCTCATTGTTTTCTTTTTTTCTGACCCACAATTTTATGGTTTTGGTTCAATTTCACTGCTCTCACAGCTTCTTTTCTGGCCACAAAAGGCACTGAAAACCAACTGCACATTATCTGCTCAACTCCAAATGGACGCTAATGTTGCTACATATCTACTTATTGTTTGAATATGCAGCTGCTTACTAACAAATTTGTCATATTAACATAAGAGGGTTATGTTGTGTTCACACAGCTTGTTTCTGCTGCCCCCAAGTGGCCAAGTCCAGGATTAGATCTGGGGACTGAATGGATTACTGTAGTGGAAGATGACATAATTAATCATTTACATTTATAACTTGTTCAGTAAGTTAAACCATAAAGATTAATAACTAAGCTGAGCAAGTTATACTAGAGGAAAAAGTAATTTTTCAAACCTGTCAACCCAGCTGTTGTTGGGTTATTACCGATCTATCAATCATTATTTATTAACCAATAATAAAGCCATTATACAACACAGTATACTTTATTAGAGTGCAACCCATTCTGAAAGAGGAAATAAGTACTCAGTGGTCAAAGCATAAATACTTCTTTGACAAGTGTTAGCTGGTAAGCTAATAGCTCAATAATACACTGGTGCTCTGAACACAGTGGAACGACTTTAAGGTGCAACTTACTGCATGATACATTAATGTGAGATTATTTCTTATTTATTTTTCTCTGCTTTTCTTCTCCCCACCTCAGTAGCCACTGAGCCCACAGTGGCCCCCATCATACCTCCAAACGGCCCTCCCACAAACAGGCCGACCAACGCTCCCAGCAGGGCCTCCCCTCTCACAAGAGTGGGCAGCCACCTCAACCAGCCTGTCAGCCTTTCCCACAAGCCCCAGAGAAAAGAGGGAGCAGGGGAGGAAGGTGAGACACAGGCAGAGGGGAAGATACTATCGAGATCCACATTTAGGTCATCCACGCTCCTCTCTGCCTCTTCCCGGACTGCTTCCTTCTCTTCTTCCGTCACATCTTCCTCTGGTGGTGAGTCTGTGGGAGACACCTTTCCTCTCCTCTGTCTCGCTATCTCTACCTGCCTCTCTCTCACTCTTTCCTCAGCCTCCTGGTACAGAGGGCAGCTGAAGTGCTGTGTCCCGCTCTCTCTCACAGCCTGCTCAACCTTCTCCAGCAGCTCCTCAAGAGCTTTCCTCTCCTCTGGTTCTCCGCTGCGGGTTTCCAGGGTGTGGTAGCGGTCGCCGCATCTTTCCACCAGCTCCTGGAGGTCCTTGCGCCATGTGGCAAGGTATTCCTCCAGCTGCTCGTCCTCCTCCAGCTCCTCGGTGTGGGTGAAGAGTATGATGGTGTTTGTGCTGACTGCAGAGGGACCCAACAGCTCCTGCAGGACGTCCAGCGCCTTGGCCTCTTCATCAGCTGGCTGGTTCACAGGGACACACAGCAGGAAGGCATGTGGTCCAGGGCTGGATAAGGCGATAAAGGAGGAGATGTGTCTTCTCCTTTCCTTTGGGTCGCAGCCTGAGCCGAACCAGGCTGGACAGGAGACTACCACCACCTACAGAGAGGTGGCAGATGCATAAAATGGTTGATTAGCGTTTGCACAACTCATATATTGCTTTTGAAATACATTAATGATATAAACTGTTGTGTTAAAGTAATAGAACATTGGACAAGTAGGACTTCGTATAGATCACTGGTTCTCAAACTATGGTATGTGTACCACTTGTGGTAAGCATGCTCCCTCTAGTGGTACGCTGAGGAATCTCTGAATTTAAAATGAAAATTCAATGAATTGATTTAAAAACATGTAGTTCTGTGAAAATACTACAACATTTTTAATGAAAAATATAAAAAAGGTATGTTGATGTATGCAGGTGTGCATACAGATGTATAAGTACTGATGTGGATATTTCCCTTTCTTTCTTTTGTACTTGTACTTTTGTATTTATGTATAGAGCAAAATCCATAAAATATTAAATAAAAGTACACGTGTATTGATTGCATATTATGTATACTCACAGTAGGCTCTTTAAAATAAAATAACATTATGTTAAGTTTTTGACTTTTTAATTGCTCTGTATTTGTAATCATCACTTAAATTAGGTCCCAGACCATTAACAGTATATATAATGGACAGAGCTTCCGGGTCTGAAAAGTGAAGCCAACAACCTGCATTCTATGTAAAGGCCAGCAGGGGGAGCTCTACTGGCTGCAATAAAAAAACATTACCATTCTGTTAATTCAAAATGGAGAAATTACTTTTCACTTGATTTATCAGTAAACAGTTTCCTAATTAGTTCATGGTCTCAATCTCTAGTTTCAAGTCTTCTTCGATACAGCATGATGTTCATTTAGTAAATGATGGACCAATTTAGTGTAAAAGAGACAATAAAGCCATGTATGCTTTAGGGTGTGGCTACCTTATATTAAATCGTTTCAGAAACATATTTTAGTGTACTGTTCAGCTGTAATACATTGTTTCCTGCTACGGACGAGTTGAAACTGCCCAGCCAATGAATGCAGCTTCAGCTCGCAGTACGTCACATCTGCTGGCTCCGTCTAACTCTCATGGCGATGGCCAAAATGCAAAAACACGAGCTTTCAAAACAGTACTTCACAAATCTATGTGTGACGTCACAGTAGGTTCACACTTGTCCCAGAGAGAAGATTTAGTTTGCTCATTGCATTCCTTTATTGTTATTAAGTTATTATCCTTGAGACTTTAATATCCAAACTAATTTTTGATACTATTTGTGGCTGGCATTTATTGTTCTGTGGCCAATAAATGTTTTTAACTCATTAGTTACTTCTCTATACTGTAGTTTGTATTGTCAGTGGCGGGGTCTGCCATTCCCGCACTGGATTCAAACTGTCTGGAGAAAGAATTTACGCATGCATGCAGGATTTTAACACGTTGACCAACCGGATATGATTTTGTCTTTTGGCCCTTCTTGTTCTCAGTTCCCTCCACAAGTGATTGCACGCAGGATAAAGACAATGTTTATAAACTTGTTTATCAGAGATGTGAGTGATGAAGGGGTGATTGTTCAAGACAGATTCAAATCTAGCAGCATATACTGTCACTATGATAGAGACAGTAAATCTCCAAACTTACTAATATGATTTTTTGGCTGTTATATGTGACTTCTTGTATAGCCTCCAGTATATGCCCTATGAAACACTCCCCTTTGCCTTACCGGCCTCATAATCTAGACGTAAAATTTCAGTTCAACTTTTAAAAAGATACTTTTCCCCTTCAGTCACTGTCTCCTGGTGTTTTCCATGTGTTTAATTCCCACCTGCCGGCCTGCAGCCTCTCCTCTGTGCTTGCTGCACTCCTGGATGGCATCAGCGCCCTGCTCGAGGTCTTGCAGGTCCACGATGTTGCAGACTGCATGTCTCTTTCCTGCCCCAGACCGACCCAGGACCACCAGCCTCAGCTCTGCTCAGCAGGACACACACAACAGGAACCAGAAATAAAATACACAATTAAGGTGTTCATGAGAAATGACTGCGTGTATGCTGCGTGTGAGTTTTTTTTTTTAAGTTTTTTTTTAAGACAATAAAACTTGAATTATTATATCCACAAGTGATAGATCACTAGACTCCCCTCTGCTGTTTACTTTGCGTGCTGTTTCTACTGATAGTGGTCAGCTGATATCAATGTTATCGTCGTGTGTCACCAATTTCCAAGCAGTGGCAGCGCCCTTTGCAGCTGCCGTGTCTTCTCATCTGAAACCGCACAAATACCGAAAACACGCACAAGAGGAGCCCCCGCGCCCTTCACTTCCCTCCCATCATGGCTCACACACACAGCTTTAGAAATACACTGAACAAGAACTACCCAGCCTACCCGACTGTGAGGCAGATGCGGACATATCTGCTCCTGTTCGCTGCCGTATTTAGTGTTGAATCAGGGATGATGATCGCACTTCCTAGTTCCTGCAGGCTGACTCAGCCCTGCTGCCTCTGATCCCGGTCTCAACTTCACTGACTTCAGCAGAGGTGAACACAGCTCCATCTGTTGTGGTGGCTGATGAACGGTAGAGCCGCTCAACCCGTGGCCCCGGGGCCCGCCCGGGGTCCGCTGGGAAAGTTTTCTTATCATTTGTGCCCACTCGTGTTTTGTCACATTAGATATGAGTCGTTCAGACTGCACGGAATATTGCAGATGCAGTGAGTTTATTTAATGTGATCTATGGTTTAATACATAGGGTAGCTGTAGTGAGCATTTATTATTTAATAAAACCAGTGGTGGAGGAAGTATTCACATTATTACCACACTGCTAAAATACTAATGCAAGTAGAAGTATTGCATTGAGAACAAAAAGTGAGTACAATCAGGAAAAAGTATGAAAAGTAAGCAGAAAAATGTGGCATGTGACTATTAAATTATTACTCATGCATTCATTTAAAAGCAGAATTTTCTTTTGTAGTTGACTAGTGATTATTTTCATTATGGATTATTCTGCTGATTATTTTATTGATTCATTGATTGTTTTTGGTTAGTAAAAAGTATAAAAATAGTGAGAAAAGGCTTCACATTACCCAGAGCCCAAAGTGACACCTTCACAGTGCCTTTGTCTAACCATGTAGTGCAGAAAATGACAATGATTCGAGCAGGAACCATGTTTCTGCTTCATGAGCTGAATGCTAACATCAACATGCTAACACACTCACAATGACAATGCTAACATGCTGTTTAGCAGGTATAATGTTTATCATGTCCACCAGCTTATTTTAGCATGTTAGCATGTTGACATTTGATAATTAGCCCCAGGCATGGAGTACAAGTGAGGCTGATGGGAATGTCATTACAGTTCATCCCGTGGGTGAACAACTGATGTGTGTACCACATTTCATGTCAACCCATCCATTGTCGACACATTTCCACTGGAAACCAAAGATGGTGGTGTTAGAAGAACACGCAGAGGATCACCAAAGTAGTCAGGACTCATCCTCTGGGGATCATGAATGTCTGAACTACATATTATGGCCAACAATAGAGAAGGTTGTTGAAATATTTCAGCCTGGTGATGAACGTAGCGACCAGCATCAACCCTCAGAGCCACACTGCTAGCATTGCTAATTCATAAAATAGCAAGGTCTGAGACCGCGCTGCAGTGCCCCAGGTTCGATTCCCAATCTACGGCCCGTTGCTGCACGGCATCCACCCTCTCACTCCCCACTTTGCTGTCTCTCTTCAGCTGTTACTATCTAATAAATGACATTTTAAAAAAGCAGAATTTTGGAACAGATCATATTTTAATGCTGCCATCTTGTTAAATGTCTGACAGTGATTTGTTTTGAACAGCTCCTGATTACAACAATGTGTCACCTAAAGGTGTTTTCGTTCACTTTTGAAATTCTACAGTACAGTCAAAATCTAAATGCTGTACGCACAGCAAAATATCAAATGTATAAAACAGCAAGGCATGACAGCACCTTTTTACATGGTAAAAGAAAAACTTAGCAGGTGTCAAATATATTACGTTATGTTGTTGATGACCAAAAGACAACTTAAATGTTCCTGAACAGTTCAGTAAAAAAATGTAGACATGTGCAGAACAGTCTCACACAGTCAAACCCTCACAGCTAAACAAATGCACACAAACATTCAGTGGAGCACATACAAGCATACACCCATTCATACAGCACACTGTACAGTAACAGTAAAACTAAGCTGACATGCCAAGAAAGATTAACGTGTTCAGTAAAATGTTTCATTAAAAAATATAACAATTAGAAAATTAAGAGAACAAGGTTTTTAAAAAAATACTTTAAAAACATGTTGACGCTAGAAATATCAGAGTTTTCAGATGCCAAGCAGTGGCTTAAATTAAAGTCCAAGGGTCACTCCTGTAAGGGACCACTCAGTCAAACATTGTTGACTGCCGATGCCAAATCCCTCCACATAGATGATCATCCTTCACTCACAGCCCAGGCATGATGTAGGCAATGTTGTCCAACGTGTTTGACTGACAGAGAAAGAGAGAGAGCTTTGTTAGAAAACTGAAATAAAGATGCACTTCATCCACTGGCATGTGTTGAATGTACACACTTGAATGCATACAGAGACGCAGTTCATACAGTACAAACATTGCACTAATGTGAAGAGGCTCAAAACACAAACAGTTCATGACGAATGAAACATTTAGAAATACTAATACTATACCAGGACGTTTCGAGGACATCCGTTTAACTGTGGTATCTGCGCTGTGAGACATGTCAGCGGTCCCAGCGCACACAAGATGGAGTCCAGAAGTACAGACAGACTCCCAGACACTGCCACCATCCCCTAACACAGAGAAACATCACACATATTATGTCTGTTTGAGATATTTATTTGCAATTGTTGTATAAAGGTTATAGGTAGGTAGAGATTAAATGTGCATGTGGAAATGTACCTCTGTTTCCTGTAGCCGATGCCCAATTAAGGACAGGGACTCTCCCAGTAGCTGCAGGTGAGCCGCTGCATCAATGGGATCCACATCTGGGATTCGTGCTGGGGACAGGGACACAGTGCTGGGCGCTCTGTTCGGTGACACCATCCCTGTTCCCGTTCCGGCAACTTTCATGACTAAACACAAACAGTAAGAAGACAGACGGTGAGAGGACAAAGAGCTGATAAATGATTGAGTTGATACCATTTTCCTCATCAATCGGTGAAAACCTTCATGTTACAGTCCAAGGTACCTTTGCTTTTGGTCTCACTGGCACTCTTGTGTTTGACTGTGGTGGCCACAGCTTTGTTCTGCTTGTGCTGCAGATACTGAGCTTTCTGTCTCCACACCTGCACGGGAGAGCCAACAGAAAAACACAGGATGTCTCTGCATCACTACTCCAAGCTGAACAGTGATATTCAAAAGCTTTTCCAGTGTCAATAACAAATAGGAGAAAAAAAAAAAAACAACTTACTAATTTGTCTTTCTCGGGCATCGCCTTCCACACCTCGGCCAACTTTTTGCTTAGCTCACCAAAGACTGCAGAGGAGACATACAGACATACTGTTTAATATGTGTGTTTTAGTGATATCTGAGAAGACAATATGCCAACCAATGTGATTATAAGAGTTATATTTAATACATTATAGTACTCACCTAGTCCTGGCTGCTCTGCATTTATGTTGACCCTGTACTCCTTACAAAACACGTGATATGCTGATGTGATCTTGGGCTTCTTGGGCTGAGAGAGGACGACAAAATTCACCAATAATGCAACAAACACAGACGCACAGCGTAATACACACGTGTTAGTTTTCTCAACACGTGTTAGTTTTTCTGTTAGTTGGCTAGTAAAAATGGTCAAAGTGTGTTTGCATAGTCAGCGAAACAATACAGCTTTGACAGACGTTGGTCTCGAACACTAAAAGCAGCATAGCAGGAGGTTCAATAGGGTTGTTGGTTTAATGTCAGTTACTCAACAATTCAAAGCTCATTTTCCAGCTCTGCAACTTTAACTACCAACACTAAAGAAATGTCACACAACTGTGTCTCACCTTATCTTTATCCTTCTCGTGTTTTTCCCGATCTTTCTCCTCTTTCTTCTTCTTCTTCTCTGTCACTCCATCATTGCCTTGATGGTGGTGGGGAGGGACGGGTGTGCCCATGGCATACATTGGACCAACAGCGCTGTGAGTGACAGTGGGGTGGGAATGGCTGTGGCTCCTCGATGAGTCTGATGAGATATCAGAGTCGTACAGAGGTAAAGCAGTGGTAACGACAAGTATGGTACTGATACGTTCAGCTAATGGTTCACTTTAATCTTTCATTCTGGGTTCAAAGAACAAACAGCCCTTATTTGGTGGCCACTATTTTAACACACATTATGAACACTACTGAATTCAGCTGGGCTCAGAACAATGACAGCTTGCAAGTCTCTAACTTTCTCTCAAATCAAAAACAGAAATGTAGAATTAAAACAAAACAAAATAATTTGATAATGAAGTGTTTGGATATGGACAACTACAACACATTTGTTAACAAACTGTACACTCACCACCAAGTCCTTTGCTGTGCTTTTTGTCCTTTCCACTTTTCTCCTTGTCTCTGTCTTTTTCTTTGTCCTTCTTCTTCTTGCTTTTTTTGCTCTTCTTCTTCTTTTTTGACAAATGTGTGTATGAATCATCTATAACCAATTCACCAGCCTCCAGTTCACCCCCCGTTGAAGAGCTATCGTCTCCCATGCCACCTCCATAATGACCTGTATGACAGAGAACGCAGCAATGAATACCAATATACAAAACATGCTGGTCTGAATCATTTACAGTGGTATGGTACACTGGGACAACAGGTGTGCCAACAGAATATATAGCAGCAATATTTGTGTACTTGTTTGATTGGCTAACAAACCAGTCTGGTTCATTGATCATTTGCCCCTAATAACTCGGGCTGCACAATTAATTGCAATATTATTGAAATCACACTGAAACAGCATTCTAATTATAGATATTATAGTTATGCAGAGATGCCCTGGCCTACAAATCTTATTCTCCAGATTTAAGAAAACATACTACATACTACAGACCCCAAGAAATTTCACAACATCGTGACTTTAATAGTTTTTTTTTGTTGTGAAAATTACATTTGTGACACAAAAATGATAATTCCCATCTGTCAAAATGATTGCAATATGATATTTTACCATATATTGCAACTCTACTAATAATGCATGGGGTAAAAGCTGAAATGCACTTATTATTACATCATAGTCAAGATTCAACTGCATCATTTTCTATCAATGGAAAGGTATACTGATTGTATTTTATATACTGCCAGTTTAGTTCAGTTTTATTGATCGGGGTTTATACAGTATATGGATGCCTGTTAGCCTTACTAAGAGAAAGTTCACATATCTTGCATCCCCTGGAACATATCTCACCTTCCACTTCCACCTCTTTCCCCACTACAGGCAGTGGATCTCGACTCTGCTGTAGTTTCTTCTTGGGCGACTTTGAGAGCTGCATCCTGTCTCTGTCCTTCTCCTTCTTCACACCTCCTTTGGATGAGTGGGGCGTGAACGGGAAGCTCTCTCCTTCCTCTTTCTCTGGCGACATGATGAGCTTCATCTTCAGCCCGTCAGCCTCGCGTAACGTCAAGGGTTCCTCTTTGGGAGCTCCGCCGTGGAACAGAGACGACTTGGAGGAAGAGGAGGAGTGCTTCTTGGAGGACGATGACGACGAAGACACGGGACGGGAGTGTGAGAAGGAGTGGCTCCCTTTGCTTCCACCGCTGCTGCTGCTCTCGCGTTTGCGGTCCTTGGAAGAGTGCGAGGAGAAGGAGGGGTAGGAGGGTTTCTTGTGCAAGTGGGGACTGGGGTCCGAACCTGTGGCGAGCGGAGAGGTGATAGCCTGCAGGAGGCCCATCGCGGTATCTGTCGGGTGGGAGGATGAGGGGGAGGAGAGAGGAGGGGAGCGGTCTGCAGACTTGTGCTTTTTTTTGTGGGGAGGTGGACCTGAACCATCATGGTCTGACACCGGGACAATGAAAGAAAAGAAAAAGGTAAATACAGCTGCAGAGTCATTTTTGGTGAAATGAAAAGATTACAATGTATCAACTTCTCACCTCTGTAATAATAGTCATCGCTATGTTTCTTCTTCTTTTTGTGCGAGTCCCCTCCGAGCATGAACAGCTCGGAATCCTGATTTGGAAAGACACAATAGCTTTACATTTATCAATTCATAAACACAAAATATTCAAAATATTCAAATGGGTAATAACACCATAAGTAGCAGCACAATATATATTTTTAAGCTTTCTGTGACAGTAAACCAGGCTTGGGGCAGATAATTTACCTTGGGCCGTTTCTTGGAAGACTTTCGGACCTGAGCAGCAATCTCTTCTTCCTCCCTTAGCAGGTCCTTGTACGACCTCCTCTTCTCTCTCTGGCTGCGACCAGCCACGAGGCCCCTGTCTCCTTCCATTCCCGCGTCTACAATACATGAAATGAGTATTTTAATTCTTATTTAAATATTTGATAACATTGAGATCATTTAACACAGCATATACCTGATGGTTATTACATCTACATCTCTTGAAAAGGAAGGGTTTAAAGTTAATGGTTATGTTATTACTTATCATTATGTTTCTAAAACTGTACATGTTTGATGAGAATAGACATTACCCAGTCCTCCTTTACTCTTGATCTCCTCAAAAGCCATGGCTCCTCCTTTGTCAACACGTTTATTTATCACAGTATGTCACTGACAACATATGGCAGGATACTGACCTGTAAAGTAAAATATCAAATAAATACAAGTTATGGTATTGAATATATATCTTCTGGACAAAAACGAGTGAGAGCAGTTTAATGTTAGACAATAAGAGAGTAGAAACCTTCAACCATCTTTCTTTCGCATCCTGTAACGTTACTTACACCAAAGAAGGTCTTTATACCTAGATAGGTACTTGGTTGCTACAACTGTTCCTGCTAGTCCTACCCTGAGCAGCCCAAGCAGCACTGGAGCTGCAGTCAACCTGGACATCTACTTAAAAGTGGAGAAGTGCTCGCTTCTTGAGGAAAAATACATTTTAACGTTATATTACAATGATAATGTGGTCTGTCACCTACAACAGACTACACAAAATTTGTGAGCTAAACAAATTCCCGCCTACTTTCATAAAGATACACAAACACACCCCCTCTCCATATACTTTGACTCCCTATCTTCCCAACATTTCCAGCACTCGAGTCCGTGTCGCCGAGCGTGCCCTTCGCTCGCCGGTGTAAGCGGCTGAGGAAAGCCCGAGGCTTTCACTCACAGCTAGGCCGCAGTCGCCTCAAGTGCACAAAACACTGCGGCGAACATGCATTCAACTGTGCTCATGTCTTCATCTCCTCTGGGGTGGTAGCCTGAGCAGTTTATAAACAACAGGAGGAGAGGAAAGAATGTGTTTATTAAATATTACTACCTCTATGGGGTCTCCAATTTACGCGGGTCCGGACGCCATCTTTTATTATCGGCGAAACAACAATACGTGTCTGTGTAGGGGAGGGGCTTCGGTAATGCAGCCAATCAGGGTCGAGGAAAAGTAGCCATATTAGCAATACATTCTCTTGACACAAAGTATCCTACTGTCCAAAATGACAACTACAAAAGCATAGACATATATATATATAATATTTATATGTCTATGTACAAAAGGCCCTCTCATAATGTTGATATAAATATTAAAGTACAACAGAAAACCACACAGACGGACGATTCTTTGTCACAGTGTATAAAAAGACTCACAGAGATTCACAAATATAGCCAAACATATCGATTTATTGAATCACATATATTCCTTTTACAGCCAGATCAATTTTTACAGTACAGTTCACATACAAACATAACATGCAATACAAGAGAAAAGGCAACGAGATACAAAGATGCTGCTGATAAGAAAACCCAAAATACACCAGTGAAAACTATGATTCTGTGAGAAATATGTCTCATAATTATCATAGAATTTAACTAATAATGGCAGGCAAAGAACATATCAGCACACAGCTGTGACTCCTTTTTACACACACACACACGCACACACACACACACACACACACACACACACAATAGAGAGCCGATGTCCCACTGCACTTCTGGGTTAGCTTCTGTTCCACCAGCTTCATTTTTTCAATGCATTTGTCCCTTAGGGGGTTTCTTTTGTCCTTTTTTCTGAAAAGCCAATGTGTGACACTCTTTCCTTGTCCATAAGCTCAATGGATACCTACTACACTTCAGTCCTGGTCATTACAATTTGATTATTTTTTCATTTTAAGCAAGATAATATTTTGTTAGCATTTGTTTTAGACACACACACACACACACACTATGAAAACCTCATGAGGTCTGTAAATGCTAACAAAATAATCATTGTTTTTTATCTTGGTTAAGGTGACAAGGCTGTTGCTTGTCTGGCCATGGCTAGTGGAGCAGAGGCCCGTCTGTGAAGGAGCAAGTCTTCCGCTCTCTATACACTTTATCTTCTACCTATCCCCCAAATTCTGTTTCTGTAGGCTGAGTGATGTAAAACTGGCCAATAAATCGGTCACCTCATCCACCTGAAAAACACATACAGCCATGTATTAGTTAATTACATTAGTGGAAATGAATCTGAGTAAATGCATTATTAAATAATCAATGCATGCAAATCTAAAAAAAAACACACGAATTTAAGTTTCATTACACCAAAAGTTTTCATGCATGTGAATCTGAGACTCACTCATTAAGTATGAAGGTTTACCTGCTCTTTGGTGCGTGTGTGCTCCAGCTGTGTGGAAATGTGCTCCAGCCTCTCTTTAGCTTCACTCTGGCCCATTAAGTTCAGGTATTCCCTCAGCATTTGAATAATCTGAAAGAGAAAGTCAGATAAAAGAAATCTTCAGCAATACAACATACCTTTAAAAAATTAAGAATGCAGATGATTTCTTGATTCACTACACCAGGGAAGTTAACACATTGTCTACCTGTGTGACCTCCCCTCTCAGGGTTTCTAAGCTGCGTGAGTCTCCCTCCTGCAAAATATTAAGCTTGGAGCGTGCTAGATGAAGAGGGGTCCTGCCTGCACGGTCGAGGGCATCCACACGGGCTCCTTAATAGAAACAACAAACGCACAATGAATTACATTATTATAATATATATTAGAATAAATATTAAATAGTTTTGAATAATCCTCGATTCTAACTGAATAATAATCATGTTCTCTATTGTTTATTAACTCGGATTAACAGAATCGATGTTGTTATATTCATATCTAGCAAAAAACTCAAAAGGTGTTATATCTTTGTGTTGCCATGGTTACACTCTACAATTACATACATTTAAGTATAACGTACAGGCTAGCTACACTCGCAAACTTTTTGTTTTTATCAAGGTCAGTGAAAATAATAGTTTCTGACTGGTGAATTATACACTAGGCCACTAAGAAAATAGCACCATGTAACAGTTTAATCACCTTTCTCAACCAGTGTTCATGGTAGCCTGCATCTACAAGCAACGAGGGCGACGCTACCTTTGCTTTATATAATGTTATACTCACTAACCTACAGTTAAAGGTAACCTGTGGTACGTGCTGTATTTTAATTTCTTGGCAAGTGACCATGTTATGGGTAGAATAATCTTCTAGAAGAAGTCTGTTAGGAAAGTTTCTTACAAAGAATAACCATCTTTTGTGTATTATGCCTTAGATATGATCATCAGGGTAGAATAACTGGGTGGGTATGGGAATGGTGGGAAACTGAGCAACATGTATACACACCTCCTCTCAGCAATGTGGTGATTACAGGCACGTGGTTGGTACAGGCCGCTGCAGAAGCCCAAAAATTAAAATTGGCAAATTAGCAAAAACACGAGAATAAAACGGTTCAAAAGGCTTAAAACATCACAAAATCTTTGTTCTATGTCATCCTGCAGTATACCTGTTCATTTGAACACGTGTGAGCGTAAAGCAGCTGCACTGCTGTGTGTCATAATGAAACCACAGTCTTATTCATCGCTGACTACAATGCTACAGGTTTAACAGCATGCTGATTGGTCTCTCTTACCCAGATGGAGGGGGGTATTCCCCAGACTGTCTCGCTGGTTGGGGTCAGCGCCGTGGCTCAGCAACAATTGCACTATAGTCATAAAAGAGGAGGACATATTATGGTTAAAATTTAGACTGAAGGGAAGAAAAAAGTGCCGGAAAAAGATTCAAGATTAAAAGATTAAGGAAACTGACCAAAGTTAAAGCTGCACAGTGCATGACTTCTTGATTGATACATTAACTATTACTACAGAACAGAGTTGTTCAATGTATTATTTAATGTCACTACAGCAGGATGGATTGTCAACATGGCAACATTATACATGATTTCCTATGATACTGTCATGACATTCTTATCACCAACCTACCGATGCTCTCATTGCCATTGCAGGAAGAGAAATGGAGGGCAGTCCTTCCCTTGTCGTCTGCTGCACAGGGGTCTATGTCCTCTTGCAGGAGCTTTCGAACTGGAAAAACACAACTTTATTAGCAAAACACAGCCTCTTATCATCCTTCCCTTACTCGCATTTCACTGCATCCCCTCACTGTTTATACCTGTGTCGATGTCATTGCTGTTCGCCGCTTCCCTCAGTCTTTTCACAGCTGTGGAGAAGTGACAAGTATGTAAATAATGCTTTATGATTGGATGATATCACAGCAACAAACAAAGAACATCAGTCACAAGAGCGCAAGCTTTACACTAGTTTGAACATCACCTGTATACAGACTGCTCACCAGTGTAAGATAGGAAAAGATAGGAGACCAGATAACTTTGGTTATTATAATGAGTTTAAATGTTGTTATTCACTGTATTACACTGTGATACAACTGTATCACCTTCACCTGTTTGGTAAAGGTAGCCCATCTTTCATTTGTATAAAAAGCACCACACTCTCACACCTACAATATTGTCACATTGACATATTCAGATACCAGCTCTAAATGTTATTGAATGTTAGCTTGTGTTTTGTAGCAAATGTAGCTACCTTCACACACACACACACACTGTAACAGTCTCTTACCATAAATATCTTTACCAATAGGACCGAGGTTCCGCACAACTCTGTGCTGCCGTCTGGCCCTGCTCCCCGTCATCTTCCCCAGCTTGCTGGCCACACCACCTGCGCCGAGCTCTGCACGTCCGGGCTCCCACAACAAGTGCAGGTACCTGAGTTCTTTGTCGTCTCTCTGTCCGACCCGACCCAACACCACCTTGCCTTCCCCAGTCCCACTTATCCCGAACCCGACAGCAGCGGTACCCCCGTCGTCCATCCCCTCCACGTTACCCCGCTGCTCTCTGCCCGCCGCCGCCGCCTCCCGGGTTTCATCTTCGGGTCCAGGCTCCACCATGTACTCCCCCTCGGAGCTGGAGCGCTCGTTATCCGAGGCTGTTGCAACGATTGGGCTCCACCCGTCCATACTTTATCGTGGCATATGGATGCTGTGTTTATACTACACTCACTACATACGGTCCTTACTACTCCTGCTGAAGCGAAAAGGAAATAAAGCCGTCAGTAGTAGTATCGGGAGTCAACTTTGAATATGGCATCCGCTCCGGTCAGCGACGCCTGGGGCCATTGCACGGCACGTCAACTCAGAAACTCCCCCATTAAAGTCTTTCCATCCTGGGTAATTTGCAGTGTTTAAACAGCAGAAGACACCCTACCTTTACAACACCAAAATGTCCCCCTATTTCACATTTTCCATATCATCGAATACAAGTAGTAAAAGGCACACCCATTGTGCAGTCACAGCTTCAGGGCACTGACAACCAATCAGATTCCGTGTTGTTTATTAGGTCCTGTCCAATAAGGAGCTACGCAACCGGGCAGCCAATCAGTGCCCGTTCTGTTCTGGACACGTTTGCTCCGCGCATGCGCACAGTGTTGCAAAACGTGACAAAATGTTTGATTTAAATAAAAGACAGTATGTATTCCCTCTTTAATGTATGTTTAATTAGGTAACATCATGTAAAATGTATTATGCATAATCATTTTGTCACACCCACCCTCCACCTATATAAGCTTCATATAATATAGATTTCCATGATACGAAAATGGCATATTATAACGTATATAAATATTTTGTGGGGTATAATTATAAAGGGAGCTTTCAAGGGACAAGGTGTCTCTCCAGTGATAAACAATAGTTTCCAACCTGAGGGGCCGTGAGATGATTACCACAAGCTAGAATACACCGAGTTATGCTTAGTCTTTCAAACTTTCCTCTACTCTTTGCTCATTTTTTGTGAATTACTTCTTTGGACACTATTAAAATAAAGAAAGTAAAATCACTCTTTGGTTGAAAAAGTCAGGTGTCATGTAACATTTACATCTGGTGACGAGGTGTTGCAAGTAGAATATTTTAACGGGTAAAAAGCCAAAAAAGGTTGCAAACTACTGATCTATAGGACGGCATTCTGTCCAAAATATTTGGTCTTGTGGAGAGAATTTCTATGGGTGCTGGAGGTAGCAGGTCTGAGGAACCTAAACAGCATTATAGGCATAGCTTTAACACACTTAAGTAAAACAATCAGAAGTCAAGTTTCAGTCCTGAAGACATGGAGGCTCCAGCTTGTGCCAGGTAGTTGGGGAAAGCGGGGTCAGCTCCTGATGTGCCTGCCTCTTGCTCAGTAGGCATCTGCACAGCGTCATGAACGTGCTGCCACAGCTGACTGCTGTGAGCGACACCCTTCTGCTTCAAGTATCCTTGCTGACAAAACAGCGGCGGCTTGCGGTGGGTGAGGGATGAGCGAAAACATGATTCTAAAAGACACGAGAAAAGAGGAATGACTCAAACTACCATCTGCTGTACAATCAATACATTTCGCTCGGGTATTTCCGTCAGCTGTCAAAGGCACAAAAAAACCCCTGCTGGGGTGTGGTTTAGAAGTGCAACTTAAATGTTTCAGTAGTGTTAACCTTTATGATGCAATTTCCCACACTGCTACTTAAAATATCTAAAATGACACCCACACCACAAGGTGTGGTTTGTAACACCTTGGAGTTCAGGTTAATAACAAGTTAGACGTATTAAAAACATTCAGTTCACATTCTAATGCTGTAATTTACAGGAGTACACCTCCTATTTGTATAGTCACAAAGAGAAAATAGGTTTCAGCTAATACACTGTGGATGAGGTCTCAGGAATGTGTATGTCATTGTATAGGAATGTTTATTAGTCTCATTTCTTAGCACAGATACTGTAAGTAGCATTGGATTGTAGCACATGTGACGTGTTAGTCAGCACAAATGTTCTGGATCTTGTGTTTCTGGGTCCACTTTGTTGTTTATAGCCTTTTTCTTAGTCCTGCTAATTACTTATTTTCATTTCTATTTTCAAGGAGTTCTATAACAGAAATGTTAAAAGGCCCCATAGACCCAGATGGTCACCCACACAGGTGTTTTCACTTATTTTGACTGACCTCTTCTGAGCACCATTATGGGGCTAGGAAAAGCTCAGGTGCAAGATGTGACTTTACCCGCATAGAAGGCCCTGAGGTCAGTCTGCACACAGTGCTCCAGGAAGCGCCGCAGTGGCTGAATATGAGATATGGGACTCTCCCATTCTGTGAGGAAGTCCTCAACCATGTGATGAACTGCCTTGGGCCTTGGTAAAGGCCAGCCATAGGGACGGAGCTTCATTTCTTCCTCTGGGGAAAAAAAAGAACTTAAACTAACTTTCATTTGAAGTTTGTTTCCTGTCAAACTACAGTGATTTTATACCTTAACAGTACAGTTACTTTTTAATGTGGGAGCGTTCATACTCACCGGTAGGAAGTTTGTCATAGTAGTATAAAACAGGGTGAAGAAAGTTCGATTTCCAAGCTTTGGTCCAGTCTGTCTGAGCCCTGCTCCTCCCCAGATAGTCTATCTTCTTCTTCCCGTACTGCATGACTAGAACTATAAGTCCATGGTTGGAGATCTCATGGCCCGAGAGAGAGGAGAACTGAGGCAAGGCCTGGACTGGAAACTCTTCCACATATTCACAGTGGGAGCTTAGAGCAGAGGAGAGAAGAGATGACTAAAATATGAGGAGCATAATAGGGATTACATGTATTTTTTATTTATTGTGAAAAGGTCAGGTAATGTAATTTCCAGCAACATAATTTGGTGATTTTATACCAATGAAGAGTAATGTAATGAGTATACACAGGAAGTGATAGGATGAATAATAACCCAGTGTAATAATAATCTGGCATTGCCTGGAATCACTATCATTGCTTGTTAGATTACAAATTTGAAAACAAATTCTTATTTTAATTCTTATACTTATCATTAAGGTAATGTGGGTAAAATATATTTCTCGAAAATGAAACACTTAATAGGTGATACTGAGGAAGGATGTATTTTTGTCGAGACTTCTCACTGAGGATTTATCTGTCTTGGCGTCCAGCCACCGGCTTTTCACATTAATCAAAAGCAGCCAGGAAGGCCTCCTGGCCGGTAGCCACGTCCATTCAGAGGTGTCCTAGACAGGACCAACTGAGAGGAGACCCCTGAGCAGCCCCCCACGGCATGTAGGAGGGATTACATCTTCCAGCTAACCTGGCAGTGCGTCGGAGCTTTAAAAAGGGTGGATAGATGGATGACCTGAACTCGGCAAATGAGACGAACAAATGAGCTCAGCTGGGAAAAACAAGTTATTACTGGTGATAACAAAATAACGTGTGCTTACCCTCTAAGAACTATAACGTCCCCCAGCACCTCAAACATTTGGTACGGCCCAGAAGCCTCCCCGACCCGCTTCAGAATCCAGGACTGCAGCTGTGTTGTCAACAATTTTGTCGATGGCCACCGGTTGCTATGGTAACGTTGTTCAAGTACACGATATACAGCTCGAGCTGTGGCAGAAAATCCATACAGGTTATTCAAATATCAGCTTGATTATAACAGTGGCACAGAAAGGGGCTGCTTTACTTAAATGCACGGCTGTCAAAGTCCAATTTGTCTGCATTCCAACTGCGACCCATGAAGCTCAGTGTTCATACTCCACATTTGTGTATATCAACTACACGCCTGCAGTTGGAATCAGACCATGTAGACCCAGATGTGAAAGGATGCTATGAGCAAATGAGCACGAGCACAAATAACAATCATTGGTTAAACTTTCACCTGTGTAACGGAATCCGTGGATGAAGCCGCCAGCAGATGAGCGGTAGTCTCTGGAGTGGGCAGCGGTTCCCAGCACAAACAAGCCAGGGGTGTTCTTCCCTTCATACCAGGCGGTCACCCCCGGCAACCTCCCTTTTGCCTTTTCACTGTTGGGTGGGCAGGTAGAGCTAGGGAGATTTTTATAAGAAATGTTAACATTATAAAACAGCTTGTCATTAATGCACAGATACTGACACAACCCGACGAGCCAATGTTAAATCGATACCTGTCAAATATGCTGAAGTTGAATCGGAATCCAAGGCATCGAATCACACGGTCGTAGGGCTTTCGCATGGAGAAATTGTCAATGTGATACCCTGGCAGTTCTTCTCCTGTCACGTCAGAGCTGTTCTTCTCTTCCTTGTGTTGTATGTACTTATTTAATGTCAGGTACAACTGTACCTTCTTCTCTTTCTTCTTTCCACCTGATCTCCTCCTGCTTTGCTCCTTTCGTCGAGCGATAACTATTTTCTCCAGACGTGCCTCCACCAACCCGTCAAGGGACTTCAGCTGGTACGTGTCTATTAGCTCATTATTCACAGCTCTGAAAAACAAAAAACAGTAGCAGATTATGTTAATAGTGCTGATAGCTCCAATGCTGCTGACAATGCTTGTCTAAACAGGTAGCTAACAGTTAGCTCAAACATTTAGAAATTCTTGAATAAATGGCTCAAAGTATTATGGATAAATAGCTAAAATAATTAGCTAAATGCTTTGGATAAATGGTTAATTAGCTAAAAGTAATGGATAAACAGCTCAAACATCCACCTTTGCCACAACGGGCAATTCAATAAAAAGAATAAAATAATGTTTATTGCAATCAATAGTGTAATAAAAACTAGTTTAAAATCATTAAAGTTTAAATGAATGCATAAGAACATGACTGATGGTGTTGATGAAGGAGAGCTTGAGGTAATAAGGCTGTGGAGCAACATCTAAAAACAATAAAGGTTGGGGACCACTGAACAAGTCGATGAAATCATAAAGAGAGAAAAAAAGAGGGAAGAAATCACCAGATCTTTACCTGAGATCTCCAACATAATGTGTTTGCCAAGCCAGTCGAACAGGACTGGAACTGAGCATGTGCACCCGGCTGGCGCTTCCCAAGATGCTCTGGGCCGTTTCAAAAGCAGAGTTGCCCTTCCCCAGGATAAGCACAGCCTGGTCCTTGTAGTCCTCGGGGTTAGTGGAGATGGACTCATAGCCCTCAACCAGGTCAGAACCGACAAACTCTACCTTCTGAGGAACCCACAAACCCGTGGCTACCAGAAGAACACTGAGGGAGAGAGGACAACGCGATGCAATCCACAATCCAAACAAATGAGAAATTAACATCTCAGGGTCAGTGTGAGGCAAAATACCTGCACAGGTAGTCCGACATGTGCTGATCGGTCAGGATGTAGCTCCTGCCAGTGGCCGACAGCACCGCCCTGACCCTGCCGATGTCCACACCATACCGGACCCTCAGCCCAAGCTCCTTCACAAACATGGACAGATAGAGTGGGAAGGCATCAGCCGGTGGGTAGAACTCACTGCTCACTCTCTTGAACAGGAGGTCAGCTTTATCGCTCAGCAGCGAGTTCCAGTCGTGGCGCAGGTTGAACTCTCGGTTCTGCCTTCCTGTGTGGATCTTGTTGATGCTGATGAGCTTCCGGTGCCTGGGATACCTTGACACGCAAAGCAGAGCAGAGGAGGCAAAGATGATTCGGGGGGGGATAAATAAGTGCAATTTTCTTATGCCATTTCGTGTGTCACATAGTTTCCTACTTGTTAAAGAAGCTGCCCGGCCCTGAGTTCCTCTCCAAGATGATGTAGTCTCTTTTAGCCTTGGAAAGGAAATATCCCATCTGCAGTCCTGAAGGCCCAGCTCCGAGCACACAGTAATCATAGCGGCGGGTGCCATTGTGGTGGTGGTTATCAAAAGAGCATTTGACACAGCCAATCAAGATGAAAAGGATGTAACAAGGAAGGCTCGAATCCATAACCTGCTGGAGACAGAAGTGCTGTAAGAAGAGAAGAGGAAGAGTCAGAAGTGTGTGAGTAATGATGTGACAACATAATAAATAATAATAATACATAGAATCCATTAAACATATAGCATACTGTAGTAACATAAAATCTGTGTGGGTATTGTTTTAACATCTTGCTGCTAAGACATACGATTTGGGAACCTATACAGCCTAAAAAATAAAATGTAATCTGCTTATATCCCATAACATCCATTATACCTACAATTTATAAATGATATATTTTATAGTTTAAATACACAATGATTTTGTTGTGTATGTCATCATCATCATTATTAGATATAAATCACGCCTCTCATAGTTTTGTTTGATATTTACAGACACATTTGACTTTCATATAGACATTGCATGCGGTTGTTCATTTATGCTTTCTTTTAGACTATTTACATGTATTTACATACACATTTTTAACCAACTTGCATGCACATTATAGCTAAATGTTTATATTTAAACTGTCTTTGTTCAGCTTTGTTGTCATTGTTTTTTTAGCTGTATATGTCTATTTCTATCTATATTCCTGAAAACTGTTAATGGAACTGTGTGTAAGAGCAACTTAGAGCCAGAGTTAAATTCCTTCTGTACACATACTCTACCAATAAAACAGATTTATAGTAGTGTTGGGGTTATTATGGTGAGAATAAATCTGCATTTAATCCTAAAACAACTTTTTAAATTGTCTGAAACATTCAAAAATGTTTTGCTTCACTTTCAGCCTGCATGGGTATTTGGGCCATGGTTAGGCAACTGGCAACACTGACTGCATCCTGTGGCTCGATCCTCTGGAGCTTATACACATTCAGCATAAAAAGATCATAGCGTCAAAGCAGACAGGCACATAACCGGATAGATGATCGACTTTAAAATATGTGTCGACGTGGTAAGAGACGGCAGCAGGCTCAGGATAAACCCCCCTCCGGCTCTCCATGAACTCTCCAGCCGATGTTATATCACTGTGCTGGGGATGCGGCGGCTGCAGATGTTATAAGACATTCATGAACGTGTAGATCTACGTTACCTTTTATATCAGTCGATCCCTCCCGCGCAACATCTGTGGCTCAGCATGTAGCAAAGCTGTCGAGATTGCTACATGTTTACTACTTAGCATTTTAAAGCGTGTTATGTGTGTGTGTGTATGTGTGTGTACTCCCCTCGGAAAATCCACTAGCACAACCCACTTCCCCCTTTGGATAACAAAAACCAATGGAGGGCTGCTTGCATAAGGGGCGGTGATTAGAAAATACCATAGAATATGGTAGAGTAGAATAGAATAATAGAATAAAATAGAGAAAAGCCACTGAAGGATGAAAGATGGCTCAAATTGTGAGGATTGTGTATGAATTTAGTTTACTTAAACTTAAAGACTCTTGGGATGTATTCCAGATTTATGGAAAAATACAATATATTAATAATAATTAGTGATTAGACATGCATCCCCCCCAAAAAATGTAAACACAAATTAAAATGGAAGTACACTTTGCCATTAAAATGACATGACTTTGATTGCTTTTGAACTACTTCCTACTTCAATGAAAGATCCATTTTGTGCACTGGAGGCTTCAAGTTTTCACAACACACTTAAATGTAAGTCGCATACTGGAACACAATTGGTTTCTCTAGTTCCTACTATCCTGCTGATACATAGACATCTTTGAACTCAGTATCAAGGTGAGCACAGAGAAACGTTCCTCCTTCAGCAGATGAATGTGAAAATATGTACATCATTCTGCACGGTGAAGCTCAAATATCACACTGCAGGAACAAGAAGAGAAACATTTTGAAGAAGAGGGGGAGGCTTTAATTTGCTTAAACCATTCAAACAAATCCATCTGTATTTTCTTTATACCTGATGTCAGTCTTTGCTCATTTCTTGCTGATAAAGACCTTTTACTCACCTCAAAATGTGCCAGAGCCTGGAAGATCCTTCTATCCAATTGCTTAAATAAGGTTTTTGTTTAACCATATCCAGTTGAGACAAACATAATTATTTGGTTGAACACAAAAACCTTCTATTAAGTGGTCTCTGCCGAAAACATAGGCCCTTCCTCCTCGGTGGTATGTTTGAAGAAAAAATGTCAAGAGGCCTGTTTGAATGTATCTCTTTGGACCTTTTACATGAACATTTTCTGTCAATTTCATCTGCAGTCACTGTGAATGGAGGAAACAAAGTATTGACTTTATGTGCGGTGTATCTCTTGTATTCTCAGCAGTGGTAGAAGTATTGAACTTAAAAAAAGTGGAAAAAACAGGCTCAAACAGGGCTCATCAGCTAAATGTACTTAGAGTATCAAAAGTATTCCTCATGCAGGCTGGTTCTTAGCTCTCTGTTTTTAACACATTTACATTATAATACTGATTAGTACATGTAAACAATAGAATTTTATTGTAGTAATCTGTCCATGCAGAGACAATTTTAGGTACTTTCAGCTCTGCGTCATATTATAAGATCATATGTTTTGCTTGTAAACTCTGAAAACTAACTATAAGTGTCAAATAAATGTAGTGGACTAATTCAATATTTCCCTATGTGACATAGTATAAAATGAAAATAGTCAAGTAGGAGAAAGTACTGTAGGTACTTAGTTAAATTTCACCACTAAGACAGAGTGAGTGAGTCCAAGACCTTGGCTGTTTTGGAGCTTTTGATTTTTGCCATATCATGTTTTCAGTTTTTTCCACCATAGTCACATGTTTGCTTTGTCATGTTAAGCCTCAGCAGTTTGAGTAATGTGACTCAGAACTCTCACTTCCCATCTAAGCACCCTCCGCTGTATAAAAGAGGCAGGACAGAGCTGAGAGGACACAGCCGATCGTGAACTCAGAGGAGGTGACAACTGTCAGAGGACCGGCCAGCATAAAGAAGACTTCAGCTTATTACAGGTGTGTGATAGACATTTTTACATACAGTTTTTTTGTATTAAATGTATTTAATTAAACCAAATCAATCATTTGTTACAGTCTGAGATGGAGACCATGAAGAGTGCCAGGAAGAATGATGCAGGAGAAGTCGGCAGGTATGACAGTTCATCTTTGTGATGCTTTCAAATGGTCTTAAAACTGCTTTTTTTTACACAGAAATGTTGTTTCAGGATAAGATTTTATGCTTTTAAGCTTTCTTCTGATTAGTTGTGTAATTTTTGTGTTCTCCACCTTCCGCCAGTGACTTATCAGAGCAGATTAAAGCAGCCACTAAGGACAGTCACGTCAGAGCTGAAAACACACAGCTGATGCTGAGTTACCAGAAAGGACAGATCACCCTGCCACAGTACAAGGTAAAGTCTACACGCTAACACATCTCTGGGCTATATGAAAGAAGCCACAACACTTATTGCTCTATTTATGTTTGAATTGTCCTGAAAAGTAATTATTTGTGCTTCCATCAGGTCCTGTTGTGTTCCCTCTACGAGATCTACATGGCACTAGAAGAGGAGATGGACAGAAATTCCTCCCATCCAGCTGTTGCACCAATATACTTCCCTCAGGAACTTGCCCGTGTGGAATCTCTCGAAAGAGACCTGGAGCACTTCTTCGGCAAAGACTGGAGGAAGAGGGTGATCGTACCCGCAGCCACACACAGATACCAGCAAAGACTACGAAAGGTGAGTGGAGAGTTTAGACGTCGAGTTAATTCAGGGTAAGCCTGACCTGAAGTTACAGCTGATATTTCACTAAATGTTTCAGATTGGCAAAGAGAGCCCAGAGCTGTTGGTGGCCCACGCCTACACCCGTTACCTTGGTGATCTGTCAGGAGGTCAAGTGCTGGGGAAAATTACCCAGAAATCTCTTGGGCTGAGCAGCAAAGATGGGCTTGCGTTTTTCTCCTTCCCCGGCGTGACCAGCCCCAACCGCTTCAAGCAGCTGTACAGGAGCCGGATGAACAGCATCGAGCTGACAGAGCAGCAGAAGGCGGCCATGCTGGAGGAGGCCGTCGCCGCCTTCGAGCACAACATCCAGGTGAGAAAAGAGGGATTAAAAGAGCAGATTTACTAGACTGACAATGTGACGCCAGTGAGCAATAATGGCTTCAGGAGCAGCTTTAAGTCACACGGCAACTATTGAAAAGAGGAAGTGAATGTGTCTAAAAACATGCTGCAATAGCAAATTACTTATTTTTATGATTTCTCCCCCGTCAGGTTTTTGATGACTTGCAGAAAATGTTGAGTGTCACAACAGAAACAGTGCATCAATCAGAGGGCAACGCTGTCAAAACTTCCATGTTCCCATCTTCACCCATCATGCAGATCACCGTGGGATTATGCGTCGCACTGACCACCATCGGAATGGGACTCTATGCCTTGTAGGCTTTAACCAGCACTTGTAGTTGATGCGCACTTACAGCACTTTACTGATCAACTAACACATCAAATGGAAGCAAGACTGAAATTTGTGTGTCAGATATATATCTATATCTAGATATATAAAAAATTTAATCACAGCTGAAAGTGATTTTCTTAACTTGTCATTTGTATGAGCTTTATTAAACAATCCTACACTGTGAAAACTGTCTCCAGAGTTCCTCTTTTTTTATGATTTGTGTTAAATAAAACATCAGAATTAGAAAACACTGTAGTTCTAATGATTTCAAATACTTTAATCCTTTACACATCATGCCGACACTTGAGATCTTTGTGTAACAGTGACACCCTAAACATTTTTTCATTGTTTTAATACAAATTCTGACATGTTATCAGTTTGAAATACAGTTTTCACCATGACTGAGATCAGAAATTATTCAAAAGATGTCCACTGGCAAATACAGAGTAGCACAAAACAGGCAGACCAAAACTATTTACATCAACAATAATATGGATATGTATTAGAGCAGTTCGCTCTACTTGACTCTGTAGAGCACTTTCCTCTGCATGCGGTGCTGAAGTTCACCCCTCCTCAACATCAGGTGGAGGACTTTGTAGATGGCGTGCTCTGGATACTTCTGTAAAAGGGAGGTACAGGAGGACAAACAGGAGGTTACTCATAGAACTTAATCCACTTTTGCTTTACACGTTTTTTCTGTGTTACAAGACTGTGTTACACTTAAATAGGAACAAACCTGCCCATTTAGTGGTAAATGTAGAAGTCTAAGTGTAAAAGACTTAAACACAGGATTTGTTCCATTGTATAAAGAAGAACTGTGTTTTTATTTACTTTAAGTGCCCTTTTCCAACTTCCTGATTTTGTCCGACTGACCTGTTTGGTGAAGTCTTGGACGATGCTGTGCTCGGACACCTGGGAGCCGATAGCAAAGCGCCTCTTCAGCTGCTTCTCAACACGCGAGATCATTTCCTGGTCCTCCACAGAAGTGAAGCCCTCCACTCCTAGGAACAAAATGTGGTTGGAGAGATGTTAACATGAAATGAATTCAGTCCAGGTAAAAGAAATGCTTCACTGGTATATATAGGTAGATATTAAAACTACTCTAACTACAGTAAGTCAAATACCATAGATGTCTGTCTGTTCAAATAAAATAAATTCATGATGGCTACAGTCACAAGGACTACACAACACACCTGAGAGGCTGCCAGACATTGCGGCGTCCAGTGTGGAAACCTGGAAGAGTCTGAGGGCCTCGTCAATCTCTTCCTCTCCAGCCACAGCCTGCAGCTTCATCTTGGCCAGGGACTCTGCGATACGCACAACGGCCTCCAGCTGCCTGGGAACGCAGAAACATAAAATGACTTAAAAAGGACATGCAAGAATCAAAAGGTGGAGTAAAAGATAGGTGTTCATCAGCGATGTGTAGACGTGGAAGACAGCGTAGAAAAATACCTGACAGTGATGGGGATGGACGGTCTTTTGTCTGTCTCTCTTTCATGCTCTCGCGCTCCGCTCCTCATCACCACATATCTGTTTTTGAGCTTCTCGGCAGCTGCAGCAGAGAGCCGGGGGCCACATTTACTGTGTGCAAACATTTAGATCAGATAATGAGCACAAAGTAACCAAACTATGAGTGAAAGAAAATGCCATGTTTTTGTTTTATCAGCATACAAATGTAGACTGACTCACGTTCTGGCATAGGCAATGTATTTCTTGAAGGTGTTCAGTGGAATCTCGCCCTCAACACCCTCCGTCTGTGTCTGAGCACTCAGGTGAACGTTCATCACGTGACGAGCCAGCGTCTGCAGACAGACAAGTATTACATTCAGCATTCGTGTTCGTGCTGCTTTCGCGGATTTAAAAGCAGCAGATTTCCAGTCAAATGCGTGAGTCATACATGCGCCTCCTTACCATGTCCCTCTGCTGGTCGTGGTGATCTTTGATGATGAAGATCATGTCAAAACGGGACAAGATGGTGGGCATGAAGTCAATGTTGTCCTCCCCCTTTGTGTCGTCCCAGCGACCAAACACAGAGTTGGCTGCAGCCAGCACCGAGCAGCGAGAGTTCAGGGTGGTGGTGATTCCGGCCTGCGAGGAGTCGAGACGTTAGTTTGCGCTGTTTGCCACTCCGTACAGTAAGGACTTTTTATTTTTTTTAAAGAATACACAAACAGGGGCATACCTTGGCGATGGAGATGGTCTGTTGCTCCATGGCCTCGTGGATGGCCACTCTGTCATCCTCTCTCATCTGAACAACAAAAGCAGTTTTGTCTTTAATCCCAGGACACAAATAAAGTTAAACATAAAATAAAAACTACAAAAAAATCGATTTACCTTGTCAAACTCGTCGATGCACACAACTCCGCCGTCGGCCAGCACCATGGCGCCGCCTTCCATGATAAATCCACGGGTGTTGGGGTCCCTCAGCACGGAGGCGGTCAGACCGGCTGCACTGCTGCCCTTACCGGATGTGTAAACCTGACGGCACACAACGAAGGCTCAGCATCAGAGGGTGAATCTACATCATAGCACGACAGCTCACACTGAGGTCTGCTTTATGCGAATATAAAAACACTCCACAGTGGATAACTACCCCAATAGGTGAGCATCTCTCCACAAACTTGAGCAGCTGAGACTTGGCTGTACCAGGATCTCCCAGCATCAGCAGGTTGATGTCTCCCCTACGAGTGAGACCGTCAGGCAGCCTAAAAGGGACAGGAGACAAAAGCATTACTACACGCGTTAGGAGGATTTACACTAAACTGCAGATTCGGAGCGCAACTACCGACAGCCTCACCTCTTCCTCGAACCTCCGAACAACAGACAAGTGATGGCCTTCTTCAGGTCTTCACTGCCGTAGATGGAGGGAGCCACGGAGCGCGCCAGAGAGTCATAGATGTTAGCAGTAGAAGCGAGCACTCTCAGTTCCTCCTCCTCCTGTGGAGAGACTGATCCGGTAGCACCTCGACCTGGAAAAAAAATCAGACGGGGTCCTATATGATAACTCCTTCAACTTTTCAGGATCGTATGCTTCACATCAGTTACATGAGCGTTTTAATGCACAGGTTCATCTTTACCTGCCCCTTCTGTGTCCATCTGGATGCCAACCACCCGCAGGTAGGACGCACGAATGCCCACACCAGCACTTTTCTCCCTCCCTTTGGTCTTTGTAGCAGCCATCCTCTTGATGGAGTAGATACCCATGATGGTCACCCTGTTGCCCGGGACCACGCGGTCACAGAGATACCTGAGAGAGAAGGAGGAAGAGGAGGATAACAGTTACAATCCAACACCTTTATAGTTATTTAAAAGCACAGCTGCAGGAATTTAATGTGTTTCCTTCAGAACGTGATCCTCACCTATCACAGTAGAGCTGCAGGTGGCGGGGCATCTCTCCATGAGGCACAGCATCTGGAGATTCCTGCAGGCGGAGAGTCTGGAAGTCAACACAAATGCAGCGGTCCGGGATGATGAAGTAGGGATCCACGGGACACTTCACCCTTCCAGTATTGTCACTGAGGACACAAGAGAAGTCGTTACACGTGATATCTTCGTCCTTACGCTTAGAAGCGCTCATTTATTCCTATTGTGTCCTCGATCCAGACAGTCATGATACTCACGAATTGCACTTGCGTGGCAGAGCGTAGCCCTGCAGGCCCGGGGGCAGGGGGATGTTGTTGATGAGGGAGCGGCAACCGCGACACTGCAGACACACCCTGGTGGCCTTTGCCTTCACCGGTGTGGCCGAGATGATGATGCCGTTTACCTTCACCAGACGAGACACCTGCTCGGACTGCAGGGGGGAGAGGAAGGACAAGATGAGATCAAGCGGTCGATGGTAACGATGGGAATACGAGCGTTACGGAATGGGCGTGTAGGTACCTTGAGGCCGCGTATTGAAGCGTGATGCGCGTCACTCTTCACCATGACCTGGATATCCTGGACCGTCTCCTCCCCTACAGGCCGGGGACGGGTCACTTCATCGGCGACCTCCTTCGCAGCTTCCTCCAGCTGTAAATTAGACCAAAATTGTAAGTCATCGGGGTAAACAAGGCAACAGCGGTGTGAATTTAAGTTTGAGACTTTTGTGAAGGGGTCAGACAACTTGAAGTAAGCAATGTTTCACGCTGAACGTTCGTTTTAGTCTCACCAGCGGCAGGTTCTCAGTAGGCAGCTTGTAGAGACAGTCCGACAGGTCCTCGTCAAAGCTGGCAAGGTCCTCCATCTCCACGTCCACCCAGTACTCCCCCATGGTGTAGTGTCTCTTGAGCTCATCTCTGATTAACAAAATAAAAACATTAAAAAACTAAAAAACGAACAATGTTCTCATACCCTAAGAAGCAGGGACGTGCACAGACATTCTGAGGGCCTGAAAAAGGGGAGAGGATGCTTTAGTGTCACATGACAGAGGCACAGGGCATGTTTAGCCAGATTTCTGTGTGTCAAAAACTAATAGGATGATATAATAGTTTGAATGATATGGTGATTTAATTGGGTTTAACTACCTAGCAATCATGGGTTACTTGTATTTATGCACTCACAACAGCAAAAATTATTATTAAATTATTAATGTTTTTCCTCTCCGGAGGGGCCAATGAGGGAAAATGGGCTGTTGCTCTGGCAACATTAGTCTGGCCTTGTGCACTTCCTTGCCCAGAACAAAATAAGTCAGATCAAATACATATATTGTAGCTTTAGCTTACGTTAAGTGACAAAAGTTCTGAAAGAATAGTAAAAATAGACACAGAATTATTATTTACTACTTACTTTTAATACCCAGATTGTTAGCTAACAGGTAACCTGAAATGATTCAATGCTGTTGGACTCAATGATAAACTCAAACAATGATCAAAATAGAAGTATATGAAGAAGAAATGTGACCTATTCTGTGCTGCAGCTCAAGCTCCAGAAATGCTGGATCCTACATATCCCATAGTGCCAAGCTATAGCTTCTTTTAGACCCTCTGCTCTGTACTGTGGACTGTCTGCTAAATGTTTTCAGTTTCAAGCCTACATGAATACCATCAACAGGGTTATTTTATCACTGAAATGTCTCCCTTTAGACCCACAGGCTGAACTGCACATGTAGAATAGGTGGACTGTTCCTTTAATAATGTCTGCTCCATGAGGTCCACACATTCACACACTTGCACTCCCTTTTAAAAACATCCATCCTCTTTTTTAGTGTGTG